AGAGAGAGAGAGAGAGAGAGATAACGAGAAGGGCTGGAGACTATGTACAAAGTACGAATACTGCTCCTTCATCAGTATGAAGACGTAGAAGTCGTATATGAAAGCGCGAACAAAAATAACCCACACCTTCTGAAATAACAATTATTTACAATTATTTATCTAGCCGTTGCCATAAACAGCAAAACGCACAAAAGAGTTACGAAATGACATCAGCTAATCACTCCCACCAGTATTTCTGTAAAAGGCAATCTGTGGTCCTGTCTGGAAGGTTCTGTGTAATAGTTCCACATAATAATAATTATAAAATTGCCAGACTTCGGAGAAATTATTACCTTGCTGCTTTCTGACAATTCGCTCCGCCAAAGAGTAATTCTTAGACTGAGTACTGGGCAGAGCTAGAAATATTTAAGAACTAACTCTATCTAGACATTAATTCTTTGTGTGTGTTCAGTTTGAGGTCTTACAAAAATTTAAAAAAAGAAAGGATCCTGTCTTTTGAAGGCAACCTACATGTTTTGAGTTTCGTTTCTTTGTGGTGGGAAGCTGGGCGAGTTTGTTTGGTTCTACTGGATCCAGGTCTGCAGACTGGACAGAAAGAAAGCTGGACAGCTATCATCTGGGTGTTTGGGGGGGGGGGGGGGGAAGGAAGTGGGGGGGGGTCCATTTTCCTTTGCTTTCAAAGTCCTCTGATCGAATGTAAATCATTGCAAATATTTTACACCGCATTCGACACAATTTAGATGATCTAGGGGGCTTACTAGGACCAGGGCCTACTCAAGTCGAGATGGCGAATAAAACATCTCCTACACTATTTTTGAAAATGACAATTTGCAATTACACAGGTGTTGTTTTACCTGGCTATGTCGTCATCGTTGACGTAGCACTCGGCGTTGGCATGACACAGGGTCACGTCCTGGCCGCACTTCATCAGTTTCTTGTTACACTTGTCCCCGACGTAGTCCAGCTGACACGAGTTCCACTTGCACAGGCCGGACCCCTGGGGGCCCTCGTCACACTGTCCGTGGAGGCATGTGCATGCTGGAAAAGAGGGGATGGGGAGGGGTTGGGGGAGGAAGAGGGGAGGGGGAGGAAGAGGGGAGGAGTAGGGGTGAGGGTGTAGGGGGGAGACAAGAGATCGTTAATCTATCGTCCCTGTCATAGTCTAACTGCGTGAGCACCAAACTGCTCAAACATTTTTATTCGCCTAAAAGGCAAATAAATGTCTCTTACACAAGGTGATTTTGTTGAGAGTGACGGTAAAACTTTGCCCTGACACAAAAATCACTCTAAGAAGAGCATTGAAACTCGTTTTTTTAAATCTCCTGTTAACTTTACCTGTCGGCACCTGTACCGTTAGACTGCGACAGGGACACCATGTAATTTGGGTTTTGGTACAGTTTTTATTTTTTCAGTTTTGTATAAATTGCACGACCTAAATGTGTGGGCAGCACGTAAAGGTCAGGATACCGTATTTTCTTAGTTTTTTTTTAAAGAACGTCCAAGCAAAGGAATGAATGGAGAACTAGGATCATTGATGTTTGTCGCAGATCCGGTGCTTGATGATAAATTGACCCCCCCCCCATTCCCCCAAACCTAGGCATGTATAAATAATTCCCAAACTTCTCAATTATGTTTCAGTTCAATGATAACAAGCATTCGACAACGTTTGAAGATGCACTGTGTAAGGGCACTTTGGAAAGGAAGCATAACTCCATTATTACTTTCAGCTATTACGCTTCTTAACAGTAAGCTTAAAAAGGCAGGCAAGAGCGTGCCTACAACTAAATGCACACATTGGGGTTTCTGATTTGTGTATGTTGCTCCAAAATGTGCCACAGCATTACCCTTGTCGATAAACAGGACATTTATGGGTCTGCTACATTCATAAAAGATTAAGAAAAATGAAACAAAGAAACACAAATGATTAATGTAACCACTAGATAAGAGCTAAGATGCATCTCGGATCGGAGACAAGCCATTTGAACAACAAACATTGAACAGGAACATGCCTAAAAAGAAATAGAATGTTAAATCAACAAACCGCAATGGCGAGCTAAAATTCTTTTAAAATATTATTTTTCGGGTAATCTGTCTTTCCATGCGCGCTGTGACCACGTCAACAGTTATATACGCACACACACACACACACACACACACACACACACA